CCAAAAAAAATAAAAAATAAAATTTAAAATTTGCTTTTAAAAAATATTTCCAATTTCAAATATTTATTTTTTCACCCCACATCACGCCTACCCGCGACCCCCCCACCCCCTCCAAAAAAAAATTATGTTTGTTTTCAAAAAATATTTTCAATTTCAATAATTATTTTCTACTTTCTAGTAAAAATAAAAGATATTTTCTCAAAAATATTTTTCATTCATAAATTTAACACTACAAAATATTTTCTACTGACCAATCAAACATGAGAAAATAAGTCAAATATCTACTTGTGTTATTTTTCTTTATACCAAACACTCCCTTAATTGCAAATCATTAGTCAAATTTTAAACTAATGAAAAGTAGAAAAGTCGGAATTTATTTATATATATACATATAGAAAAACTATTTGACTAGACATATTTTACTGTTATATATACTTTATCACATGAGCCGGAAGGAATTTAATTTGTCTTAGAAGTTTTAGCCGCTTTATTCATGGGGTAAACAAATGTCACGTAGACAACTTCAATGAAATGCGAAACATATATTTTTTGTCAGATCAAAATGGAAAACAAAGATATTAAAAACTAAAGACAAAATAAACATCATCCCAATTTGCTATACTCATTAAAGTTTGTCAGATAAAAATGGGAACTAAACTTGAGATTCTGAATTAAAGTAAAATACTATATCTTTATTTTCTTTTGAAGCATCCAAGTGACACTTTAACATTTATTCTTTACTATGGAAGCAAGGCTTAAAATATTCCAGTAGCCCTTTAAATATGGCTACATATCGTTGAATTATTATCAAACATCCAACAAAAGAGCATCCCAAGCACTATTGTAAACGGGTACGTAGTTTGTTCTAATATAGAATATATTCTTTTGGTCTTCATGGTATGTCTTTTAAACCATCAATAATTTCTTTTTATTTTTGTCTCTCTTTTTAAAAAAAATAAAATAAGTAACATTTGTTCCACAAAGCAAGTAAAATCAAATTTAGATGATTAATTCTAAGAGTGATCACGAAAGTTGGTTTACCAAAATGATGTATATCCATTTATATAGCACATAAAATAATATTAAAGAATAAATATATTAGTGATATTACTTATATAAATCATTTCCCATAGAAATTGTGTAATAAATAGTTAAAGGTTTCAAACATTTAGTACACGTTAAATGCAACGAAGAGTTCGCCATTTTATCCTCCTATATTTAAGGACCTTTCCTAAAGTTACATTTTTCATTCAATATTGAGAGAACTAATAGTAATTAAAGAGTCCTAAATTATAGGTAAGAGAAAATATATTTCAAAAATAAATACTAAAAAATATGATAAAAGTAAAATATATAGTAAAGTTCTAAGGTTTTCTCATCAACACAATTATAAGACAGGTCGATAGTTAGTTATAAGACAATTATAAGCTGCAAATGTAAAATTGCATAGTGGCGGTTTAACACATCATAACAGGTAATTTTATTTCCTCTCAAATCTTATCCACTTAAATTTACTTTGTGAACTTGATTTTTTTTTTTCGATTTTGTGTAGTTCAAAACTTTTTCTTTTCCCAATTATATAGACAAATTCTTCTATAAAGGAAATTATTATTTCATGAGTTAGTGGGATCGACTCCTCTCTATTTCTCTTCTTTTCATTTTTCTCAAGTTTTAGCTTGGATTGAAGACACATGTCATAGTTTATAATTATTGATTGAGATCTAATTGATTAAATCAAAGTCCTAACCATAGTTATTTACTTCCATATATTTGCTTCTTAATTTTTTTTTTGCAATCAATTATCTTTTCCCTAAATTTATTAAGAACCTTTCTTTACTGCCCTGAATACATATTTAAAACTTTCACTAAATATTTTTACTTTTTTGGAAAAAAATTATAATACAATTAAACGTTTTTATTATTCTAATAGAGTATTAAGAGCTACCGTGTCTATAAAGAAATATGGACTCCATTTAGGGAGTAAGAAAGAATTTAAAGTTGAGTGAAAAAAAATTATTTCTCCTAAAGTTAAAAAAAAAACGTCAGGTCACAATTTTTTAATTTTTATTTGGCAAATATTATTTGAGAAATGACAAACGTTAGGGAAAAAAGTAAAAAAATCAGCAAAAAATTACTCAAGTAATTAAGAAAAGAATTCTTTTAAATATATTTAGGAAAAATATAATGTAAATCTAGAATTGTTGGATTGCAAAAATATTAAAGAAGCAAATATATGAAAGTAAAATAACTATGATTAGGACTTTGCTTTAATTAATTAGATCTCAATCATTAATTCTAAGCTATGACATGTGTCTCCAATTCAAGCTAGAACTTGGGGAAAATGAAGAAAAGAGAAATGGAAAGGAGCCGGATTCGATTTAGTGATACTGATTTAGTGATACAACTATCGTTTTGTTAGCCTATTGGTAGATGAGTCTCAATTTTCTTCTATTGCAATTTTCAGATTGTCATCTTTTGCTTTACCGCGATCCTTTATTTTGTTTTTAATTTGTTACAAGTAGTTGTGCTGTGTTATTATGCCCATACAAAATGTAGTTCATTTTTTCTTTATCTTATTGTGTGTTTTGGTATACCAACATTTTTTCTTTATTTTGTTTTTAATTTTTTGTTGTACGTTGTAGGAGAAGAAAATGCCGTTAATGCAAATGGTTCCAATGTTGATGAAAGAAGAGAATAAGGAGGACTATGAGCCAAAAGTGGTTTCATTCGGGCCTTACCACCATGGAAATGAGAAGCTCAAGTTCGTTGAGGATTTCAAGCCCACTGCAGTTCAAATGTTCATCGGAGACATGAATGAAGATGTTTTCATTGCTGCGATATTAAGGGAGATTGAGAATGTTAAAAAGTGTTACCTAGAAGAATTCACATGTAGGTACACAGATATACAATTTGCTCATATGATGCTTAGAGATGCATGTGTCATTTTAAATTATTTTGGACCAAATATTGATGACAAGTCATATAAAGTGGCGGAGACAATTAATCATCATCTTGGTATTGCTGTTTATAGCAGCATTAAACGTGACATGTATTTGCTTGAAAATCAAATACCTTTCCTAATTCTCGAGATGTTGGTTGACTTGAGATATAAGACTCCTAGACATTCATTTATAAAGGCGATGGAACGGGATTCCTTTAAAATGTTCTTCAATGACAAGAAGGGAATGATTGAACATGCTGAAGCTGAAGATGATCGGAAGAATCCCGCTCACCTTCTTGAAATTTTCCGAAGAGTAATTGTGACAGGTCCAGATCATGATCCTATTTTGAAAAGTTATTATAGTTGCGTCTGCAATATCAACAACTTGCTATCGTGCTGCTGCTGCAGATGTAAAGATGATCCTACTACTAGTAATCGTAAAGAAAGCCGGGTTTACTTGTTACGTTCAGTAACGGATCTTAAATCAAAGGGCATTCATTTCAGGGCTAGCCAGATGCAATCTCTCAAGGGTATAAGATTACGTCCCAGTAAATTTGGTCTGTCTGCAGAGCTGCAGCTCCCGTGTTTGTATGTTGATATGGACACCAGAGTGTTTTTCAAAAACGTGATGGCATATGAGTTTTCTCCCCATTTGAATTATTTCGATCATTCTGTGGCTGTATATGTGACTTTGATGAAACGATTTGTGGCTTCAAAAGAGGATGTGAAAGAGCTGCGAGACAAGGGTATTATAATCAACCAATTAGAGAGTGACGAACAAGTGGTGCAACTCTATAAAGATTTGAATACTTATGGGGCACACAATAATTCTACTGTCTGGGTTTTCTGGGATTGTATGGAATCACACTTTAACAGCAATGCCAAATTGTGGATAGCTGATTTCAAAACTAAATATTTTGACAATCCCTGGACTACAATTACTTTGGCTGGTTCTATTTTCTTCCTGTTCATGGATATTGTCCAGACCTACTTTGCAGCAGTTCCACCTGCTTCAACAAAATGATTTTTGTTATCGATTTGTCCAGTCCATTCAATCACTCTCTCTCTTTTTTTTTCTTTTTTTTTACTGAACTCAATCACTGTCTTGTATGTGTGTTTCTATATATTTTTTTATATGCTTATAAACAATACTACATTATTTATTACAACTACTATAATCTTCATCTCTTTTATTTAGTTTGATGTGTTTTTCGATAAGTAAGTGTGTTGCACATGTTTCACATATCAATTACTGCAAACCGTATGAATTAATGTCAAAGGATCTGTTTTGTCATTATTGATATTTTCAAAAATATTTGAATATATATTGTCTCTACATTTTTTAATATATTGTCTATTTCTTTTCACATTCTTGCATACATTTCTTCATATATTTTCTATACATTTTGCTTACGTCTTCCAAACACTTTAGCACACTTATTTTATTTTACATCATTTAAAAATTATATTATATTATATGTTTATTTTTTTACATATTTCGTGCACACATATTGTATACATAAGAGGGGGAACTTTTCATTAAAGAGGGATACACTTTATTGACAAAAAGTTTCTTACATTTTATATATTGTTTCTACTTTTTCGTACATTATCTTTATACTTGTGCATTTATTATTTATTGCATTTATACTTTATAAATAATATTTAGGCATAATACATAAACATGACCCTTAACTTAACGTCAATTGACAACTATGACCTTTAACTTTGAGTGTGTACAAATAAGCACTTAAACTTGTATAAAATTGAACAAATAGACACATTCATCCTACAAGGCACCCTACATTGCAATTTTGTGTCCTACGTGTATTATGCCATGTAGGACACTTGTGTTTACTTGTTCAATTTTATACAAGTTTAAGTATCTACTTGTGCACAATCTAAGTTAGAGAGCATAGTTGTCCGTTGAAGCCAAGTTAAGGGTCATATTTATGTATTATGCCTAATATTTACATTGTTACTACATGTCATTTCTTTTCATTACAAATATGTGTACATTTTCTTTATACTTACAAGCATTTTTTTTTTTCGTACCAACATCATAATAACTCATATATCTTATTATCTACATATTTTTGTTAAATATTGTTATATACATTTTTTTTACACATCTGCAAGTGCTATACTTTTGGCCGATGAAGAAATTATCGTTGATTTCCAAGGCCTTGTTTATAAGACGGGTTTTAATTTTGAAGTTATTATTTATTTTGTTTATTTTTATTCATATTTATTTATTACTAATACTTTTACTAAGTGTCTTTACAGGTACCCATAGTTGCTTTCCAAGGAAGTTATTCAAACAAAGTTCAAACAATATTTTTTATTCATTGTTGTGTATATTATCAATTTAGGCCGTTTCTTGCATTATTTTTTACTTTGTTATTTGTTTATATTTCATGTTTATTATATTTATATATTATATTTTGTCTCCTCAATTTGAAAAAAATGAATTCAATCGGGACCCACAGTTGTGAACTTCGAAGGATGCCTAACACCTTCCCTTCGGAATAATTGAACCCCTTACCTAGGATCTATTGGTTTCGTACACTTTCTTTTAGTTAATTAATTAATTAATTGGTTTCCCAGTTTTTTCTAAAATTAGGTGGCGACTCCTTTAATATATTTTTTCTTAAAATTATTTTAACCAATATGCATTTGAAATTTGCATAATTCTAATTAAATCATGGAAATACTTGAATACTTAGGGTTGATGGAATTAACATTAAGAACATGGAATTCATAAGTAAAATATACAATTAAGGGTTAGTCATGAAGAAAAATGATGTACATTAAAAACCCACGAAGATTATATATAGAAATTCTAGTTTGAAGAATTTATGAAACTTGAAAATCTAATGTTTGTTTGGAACTCAATGAACGAAGGAATATCCATTGATGAAATCTCACATACCTCGTGAAGTGAATACCTTGACTTGATTTTTGGAATGGATCACTTAAAGCTTGGAACTCTAATTCTTACTTTGAAATAAGACTCAGAAGAGAAGAAATTGATTTTGGGAGAGTTAGTAGTGAATGAGGGGTTAGGGTCACTAGAAATCACATAGTCCACTTAGAATAGTCCAAAACGACATAGTATATAGATTAAAAGAATGGGAAAAAACAAAAACAACTTAGTATAGAGATTAAAAGAATGAAAAAAACCAAGACGCCACTATAGCGGCTTGAACGGGACAGAAACTCTAAATTCTCCCCAAAATTTCTCATTTCGCAACACACCTTTTAACTGTGACATTCTATACTAATCCTTCCATGCCAAGTACGATATCGGGAGTTCTACATACCCAAATTCACTTCCAGAAAGCCCTGTGAATTCTTAATGTCTTAGCTACTAGAAAAATATTATTCAAGCTTAGAAATAAGACCTAATCCATTCTTGGATTGTCCTAGACCTCAGCTCACTCAGATTTTGTTTTAGACTAGCCTAGCCTAAGATTTCCAAGGCACCATCCAAAAGTTTTTTGGCCCAAATCTTTCACCATTGATCTATCCATAACGTAGATTTTTAAGTGGTAAATAAATTCACCTTTAAATACTAAAAGTATATAATATATTGTCATAATAGTTTAATCGTGTAATTAAATTTTCGAGATACGTTCAAGAGGAAATCTATGCCTTTTCTCTAAGATAGAAGCACAAATATGAGGATTGTATACTATTATATAAAAAAGCATGCATATTAGCCGTAGGGCATACTGGCATGTTGTATAGAAACTTTTGCTTATGTTGAGACCAAAGGTTCGAACCCAGTTTCGGGCAAACTTTTTTATAATGAGACTTTATGGTTAAAAGACATAATACATAAGTATGCTCTTTAATTTGATTTTACATCTATGTCTTTCAACTTTGGTAATGCATATAGGACGTGTGTGCCTACTTATTCAACTTTTTAAACTTCTGGTGTCTATTTATTAAACTTATGTCATTTATTCAACTTTATATAAGTTTAAGTGTCTACTTATGAACATCCAAAATTAAAAATCGTAGATGCCAATTGAGGTCAATTTAAAGGACATGTTTGGTATACAATTAGCTTTAGCACCCTTGATCTCCAATGAGACTCAAATAAACCAATGACCCAAGACTCTTACATGTTCACATAATTGATGACAAATTATACTATAGATTGTTTTTATGTTGCGTACGTTGTTCTTCAAATTAAGGCAAAGTGGCGATTCGTCTGTCTATGTATACCAAACGACGAGTAGCTTAGGGTGTGTTTGGTATGAAGGAAAATGTTTTTCATGGGAAAATATTTTCTTGGAAAATAAGTAGACTTTGGATTTATTTTCTCATGTTTGGTTGGTGAGAGAAAATATTTTCAGGAGAAGATTTTCTAGTGTTTGATTTATGAATTAAAAATGTTTTTGAGAAAATATCTTTTATTTTTACTAGAGAGTAGAAAATAATTTTGAGTTGAAACTGAAAATATTTTTTAAAAATAAACTTAAATTTTTTTTGGGGGAGGGTGGGTGGTGGGGTGGGGTGGCGAGGAGGAGGAGGTAGGGGTGAGATGGGGTAAAAGAATAAAAAATTGAAATTGAAAATATTTTTAAAAATAAACTTAAATTTCTTTTTGGGGGTTTGGGGTGGGAGGGTTGGTAGGGCTGGTAGGGGGGAAGGAGGTCGAGGTAGGGGTGAAAAAATAAAAATTTGAAGTTGAAAATATTTTTTAAAAACAAACTTAATATTTTTTGGGGTTAAAAACAAACTTAAAAATAGTTTTTGGA